CATTGGTCCTCAGGATGTTAAAGATATTCTCTATACACAAGGGGTTCAGTTATATGCCTGGCCCTTCCTATACCAAGGAGACAAGCAAGTTACTGCTATTGCTAGTGGGGATCTGAAAAACAAGAATGCTTGGAATTGAGAAGTCTGGCAATAGCTGGTGTTTGCTTTTACTGTATTCTCTTTTCCTGCCACCTGAAACACTATGTTTTATAAGGAAGAGATAGTCCTGAGCTAACCTAGAAGGACTCTGGCACAAAGACTTCTCTGGAAGGGTTGGGGAATGCAGGCTACATGGACCACTGGGCAACATGAGCCACTGTTCACTGTCTGAAGCTCTCTCCTAGTTGGGGGAGGTATATGCTGATCCCAGGGGCTTTGTGAGACGATGCACTATGGCCAAGGGCATGTAGGGTGGCAGGGTGGGGTCTTGCTCTGCGAGTACCCACAAATACATATCATAGCACACCCAGAATCATTCCTAGTTTGTTCAAAGACCCCACTGACCAACCCAGATGTCTGCACTCCAGGGACTCCTAAAAGCACAGTCTGAAAAGGATTCTCAAGACTCTGGCTCAGCCAGCTTTTACTAGGGACGGATGGGCTTAGGCACAAGCTAACCGATCCTTCCCCAAACAGGCTGTCATCAGAAACACCAGCACCAGTGGTGGCTGCTCTGGAGGGCTGCGCTGAGAATCATTCTGAGGCCCAGCTTGAGTACAGTGAAGCAGAGCGCTGTGATCCCTCAGAAATGACTCTCAAGTATCGGAAAGGGCTTTCTCCTGACCTTTCTCCTAAGGCTCGCAGCTTGCGGCAGCAATTCCCTGTTCCCCTCCCCATCTCCAAGACCTGGAAGTATGTCGGGGCACTTTTTGGTGGCTACAAAGGTTGGAGAACGCTACCAGTATTAAAGGAGCAGGAGCCAAATATGCTGAAAATCCTGTAATATAGACCCTGGTGGTAAAGAAGTATCGCACCTAAAATGCCAGCAGAGCTCCTACGATGAAACTCTATGTTTCACTCCATTAGTCTCTTTAGTTAAATGGCCTGAACGTCTGACCCTTAAATGACATGATCTGTGTTTTGAGAGAACTGGCTTCACGGAGTATTACCTTATATTATACTATATTATATCTGATAAAAT